AAATTTTTTTATCGATTTTTTTTTTCTTTTTATACAAGATGAATCTATGAAATTACATGTATACCAACACAACTATCTACAATAAATTACGATAGTACACGTGAATATTATAAATATTGTATGACGATGATTTGTTTTGTTTGGATTTCAAACGAGTTCATCTGTTTTTCGATAAAATATGATTTTAATTTTCAATACTTTTTCATCGTATTTATTGTGGTGACGTAAACAACGCACCGCGAATCGTCCAAGTTGTTTACAATATTGTCAGTGGATAAGGGGAAATCCCATGTTCTAGAATATGCGATGATTATCTCGTTAAGGTAATTTCGAGAATGTTCTAGACAATCGACGCCGATATATATATATATATACCGGGTGATCAGACGCTCATTCAATCAGTCCGTGAGTACAATCCGCGACACACCGTGAATTACACTCTGCGATATATTCGGCAATTCCTCCGCAATTGTAACGCGTATCGATATTTGTACATACATATTTATATAATATAATGTCTATTTTAATTAAATTAAATTGTGAGTGATTTTTATTATTTAAATCCCACATTATAATTAGATTCTTTCGTTTTTGGTGAATCAGAAACATTAAATAACTAATTTAATTAAACGTCAAAAATTGTTTCTATGTTTCTTGATCTGATTTCAGATTTTTATTGTTTTTGTTAATTTTTTTTTCTGTACTTCTTATTCAAACAAAGTATGCTTGTATAAAATAATAAAAATGAATATAAAATCCATACAATTATTATTTGATTTGATTTGATCTTTGATTATCTGTTGGAATTGTATTACTTTGACTTCAATGAGATTATATGACTGATGTCTACTAACATTATAAACAACCCAAGTTTTGAAGATGTATTCGGATTTTAATTTTTTTCAGCAAAGTGGTTTTGGTTTCAAATGACATTATTTGTTTAGACTTATATAGATTATATAAACACATAGTCTATGTGGATGTGGTTTTATTATTGCATATAATATTTTCATTTTGGAGTACCAGTTTTTGATTATTTAAGATGCCAAAATATCGGTTTTCGTTGGTAAATAAAATGAGCAGAAATATTTAGGTATAACGTGGAGCGTGACGTCATTTTGTTTTGCTTGATCATCGTAACGTCGGGTAACTACTGAAACAGTAATGTAATCCAAGTCGTTATTTTTACATAATCAAATTTCAGAACATCAATGCAGTATAACATTAACCCATATGTGAAAGGTGTTGATTTCGCCAAATTTTGAGCCAACAAATTATATTGATTATCTAAAAAAAAATTGAAATTATAATTAAGGCTGAAATAATGAAAAGTTAATTTTTTTTTTAATGTTTAGATAGATATTACATAAAAGGTAAGCAGAAATACTATAAATGCATAAATGCATATTGAGTGCCATAATAATTAGAAATATTTTTTTAAATACTTTCGTTAATTTTGAATTCATTGTAATCAGGCATGTAACCAGACATATTTCTATAAGGTGGCCAACATTTTTTGGCCCCTTTCTGTAGTTGTATTGATCAAATGTGCGTTCGATATCCGTATTTGGAATTTCTAATTTTCAATCTATTAATACATGTACTATTGTCTTATCTCAAATTGTCAAGTGACGAATATTTATAAAATAGAATCTCAGAATTTAATTTTTGCTATATGATCGTTAATTATATGGAATGGGCGCATGTAAACTTCGCCACAAGCAGTGACGCACAGGGGATTTTTTTTTCCGTGGGGGGGGGGGTCAAGGTAAAAATATATCATATTTTACAATTAACAAAATTATGCAAATCCTTTATATATTTTGACTTAAATAATAGCATTGATAATAGAATAGACCAAAGGTTGGCAACTTGCGGCCCGTGGGCCGCATGTGGCCCATGAAGCAATTTTTTATGGCCCGCACAAAGGTGGTTAATTTTTGTGTTTTATTTTTGATCAATAAATTTTTCATACAATTTTCAATACTATTTAATTCTTTTTTCTTTATAAATACGAGTAAAATTGTTATTATTATCTAATCAGAGTCGAAGATAATGATGGCTGCACTATTCAGTCATAGGATAAATTAAATATACTTATATATATTTAAAAATTAGAATTTTAAATATATTTAATCTATGTATTTAGTACATAAGTATCTAATGTATTTAATCTATGGTCATAGTTACTTTGGGTTTGTAGCAATTAGTATTACACCGTGATTACGCCCGTACGTGTGACTATTTGCGTTTGTAATAGTTTAATTTTACAAATAAATCCAAACATTATGACGACTAAAAAAAGAAAAATTTGTGATAAACATCGTTTTTTTATTAATTCTTGGGTTGATTTATACTTCGTCGAAAACAAAGGTAAGCCAATATATGTTTAATTTGTCAAAAATTAAATTTTTTCTTAAAAGCAATTTTTTCCAGTAACATTCGTATTTCTATGTAAAATAATCAAATATAATAGAAATACAGTTATTAGTATATATCATATGTAAAAAAATTTTTTTAATGTGGCCCTTGATAAACATTTGAAAAAAAAATATGGCCCGCATGGTTCAAATGGTTACCGACCCCTGAAATAAACTATTCTATAATCAATGATAGTAAGTATTCAATACTAGCTCTTTATATTTCAAACTAGTAAAATTTGTAAATTTTGACCTAGACATCGGAGAAAATTTCGGAGGGGGGGGGGGGTTACAAACCCTTGACCCATTACGAAACGTTTTAAAATATTGTACATTTATAACTTTATTCCACAGCTCTATTGTGAGAAATATATTCGTATAGTCTACACTTATACTATACCTTGGATAACACCTCCGGTAGATTCGGATAACTCTTTCTACATGCGTGGGTCACGTTTGCGGGCGTATGCACAAGATTCCGGTAATCGCATTACACTCATCGGTCGATTTATTTTTAGAAACTTTAACTATAAAACTCATTTTTGTATATAAAATAAGATATTCTTCGAAAACTCCTATGCATATATACGTACGTACGAGCTTTGACCTCGACATTTAATATGGAGATATTGAATTCCATATTTCAAGTTTATTTGCGCCTATATACATAATACACGTGTACACTTATGTGGCGTATGTGTGTGTATGTATGTTTGTGAATGGAAGTTTTCTCCAATGAAATATAAATGTATATTTTTCTATTAAGATTTCGTACAAACGAATTTTTTTCGTTTTATTTCGGTTCGGGTCGTTCACATCTTGTGCTAACGAAAAAGGACATGAGATTATATTACTTTAAATAGTCTCCAAGTTTTTCAAGATATACCGTTAAATATGAAAAATAGAAAACGGTTTATTTTTTTTTTTTCGGCAACTCCTACTAAGTAGCACTTTTCATAATCGTTGGTTCATTGCAGATTTCGCAGGCCAAATTAATTTGAATACTATTTCAAATTGTTTGCAATGTAATTATCATAATATGCTTGTAATATTTACGTACATATAGTTCTTGAATATTGTGACCTAAAAGGAGAAAAACTAAAATCATACTCATAAGTACATACAGTTGAAATTAGTTATAATAATTATCTTTAATGATTTAAAGTGGATTTGAATAAAATTTCGGTTATAACAACATTTAAATGTGAAGTCTAGGAGGAGAGACTAAATTGTTATACTATGATATTTATATTTTGTTAAAAAATAGGCAATAACAATTTATTATTGCTTGGTACAAATGAAATTTGAAGTTCTCATCATTAGCTTGTTTTCGACCATGAAAATTACAGTTTTGTAGCTATAAATTTGTTTCAATTATCTTATACAGCTATAGAATTCTATTAATAGTTAGTATTTTATAGGTACTGTAGTGTGTCTACTTTGTCAATTTTTTATGTCCAAACATACAGAAAATTACAGAAAATTGTACTATTAATCGACTAGAAAATGGTAAATTAAACTTTGTTTTAAATATAAACTTGAGTGTAACTCCAGCAATGATCACGCGTATATTGAAAAAAAAAGATTAAATCAAAGATACTTAAACGTAGTGCAGAAAGATTGGGAAAACCTCGACATTGTTAAATCGATATTGAAAATATTCTATTAAACCGATTGTGCATATTATATTCTAAATAATATAGATATTGTGTTTAAATAAAATTATTATATTTTTATAATATTGTATAATAATACAGTTTAATTGACCAATATATAACAAACTTGAAACTATAATAATAACAATATGTTTCCATAAAGTTATAATATTGTTAGTTAAGTAATAATATTATACACTGTACAATCTAAAATTTTGACTTAATAATATTAATAATATTATAATATTTGATTATAGTATAGTTCATAGAATATATAGATAATATTTTTATACATTGAGCGTACAGTAAATCAGATTATTTATTTATTTAACTCTTATATTTGAACAAATATAAATATATAGACAGTGCTCGACTTGAAAGGGGAACGCAGGGGGGACGGAGTACCTCAACTAATTTTCAGAAATTTTAATGTCCCCTACTATTATTACGATATAATCATAACGCTCAGCCAGTTTTGGGGACGTTCTTTTTTTTTTTAAGTAAATAGAGTCCCCCTTCTTTAATTTTGCTAAATCGAGCATTGTATATAAATACAAATTCTTCATTTATATAGAGGTTTAAGAATAACGAATCATATTCAACGTTTGAAGTTCAAAATGTAAAAATATTTTTGAAATTCGAAAATTAAAGAATCCTTTACTAAACATTATTTTATTGAATTACATAATGATGAATTTCAAAAATATTGTTTCTGTTCGAAATTACGGGCGAATTTTTTATTATCACATGCACCAGAAGATTATTGCAAAGTTTCGATTTTTATACTTTTTTGGACAAGTATATATCAGTAAATAAATACGCACTTTATTTACATATATATATATATAAGTGTTTATTATTAAACACTTTATTTCTGATATATATTTGTCCAATTTACTGTACGCTCAATGTATAAAAATATTATCTATTTTATATCTTTTATCTCGTCCATATTAAGGATGCGTGAAACTGTCGTGTTAAGAGCATGGCCAAAACAAGCTACATGTGGTATATTTAAATTGCGTACAGCCTTTAACATATTAGATCCATAATCAGTCACTATCGAACATATTTTCCTATCCGGTATCTCATAATCTAAAAACAACATTTGAACTACATCGGCTATATTCTCCCCAGTGTGGTCTTCCGACAGTTCAATGCAACCCAAACAGGCTGAAGTTAATTTGAAATTATCGTTGATAAAATGGCACGTGAGACCAATAAACGGTTGGTTTGAACTTGAAGTCCAGCAGTCTGTGGTAAAAGTAAAAACATCGGCGCTCCTAATTATGTTCCCTATAATGTTACGTGTTTCACTATACATAGACGGAATTCGGGATTCTGTATGAGTTTTTTGACCTGGTAGCTTGTAGCTAGGATTTAACGCATTTACAAATAGTTTGAATCCATCCTTTTCCACTAAACTATACGGCATCATATTTGTTGCAATGAAATAGGCAAGTGCATTATCAATTTTGATTTTTGCACTTTTATTCAGAGTGAATTGCGTCATTTTCATTTGTTTAGTTAGAGTTGAATTTGTTTTGTGAACAATGGCTATTGATGAGGGGTCAGTAATAGGAGACGGATAAATACATGAATCAGTTGAATCTGATTGACCTAAATCTGGTTCATAATTTGAAGTAGAAGGTTGTGATATTAATGAATTTGATTCCTCAATCTCAGACCTAATAAAAATATAATGAAATAGGTAAATGTATATTTAGATCGGATTAACGAGCAGTTAATCGATTTTAAAGCAAATTTATCAGTAAAGTCCGCACAATTACGATTAATAAAACCCAGTATTTGATGCGTTTTATTAATAACCATTTGAATATGACAATCGAATTTTAATTTTGGATCAAATAAAATACCAAGTTCTTTAATAGGACCCGTGGAGCGTAGAAGAGTTTCACCACCCATTAAATATTTAGTATATTTGGTATATTAGGTAAATTTAGTTATTTATGTTGTCACCATCGCGGCATCGCCCATAAGCCATAAGGACAACCCCCGGAGGCAGGAACTCAATCGATTTCTAACTTTTTAAGTAGGTAACTAGTAGTGTATTATGGTATTTAGCATACCTTATTTTAAATTATTATTTTATATAGGTAGCTAAATATTTAAAAAAAATTAAAAAATAAGAAAATTGCTACATGAGAAATCGAGTGAATATCCAATCTTGTAAAAATGTAAACTTAAAATGCTCATAACAATTTATTTTGAGTTGTTTATAAACATTTTTTCATTGATAAAATTAGGCAAACTTATGAGTGAGAAATCTTGTGTTACATTTTCAAACCTTAGATTTAAAAAGAAAAGTTTTTATGAATCGTGCCTATGTATTTTTAATATTTTCTATCTGCTATTAGATTAACTTATGAGGAACCTTGTATTAATTTTTTTGACCCATCGAATAAAATATTTGGTGTAAATTTTAAGTTTCTACAATTATTAGTTTTTATATAACAACAAAATAAGAATATCGGTACAACAGAAATTGAGTGTATATCTAATATTGTAATTCAAATGCTCATAAACATTTAATTTGACTTAATATTTTACTATTTTCGGTAAAATTCAAAATTCTTAGCAATCGTAAACTCGTGAAAAATAATTACAATTTGTGTGTATTTTAAATCAAATTTATATTGAACTAATATTTTACTATATTGAATCATGATCTACATTAGAGCTTATAAGTGTTTACTTACTCATCTTCGTCTATGGAAACATTGGAAACGTCTTGATTAAATGCACTTCCTGATAATCCAATTCGAATTCGATCAAGTTCAATAAATTTTGGCTTGTGTTTAAATTTTAAATGGTTCCACATGTTCGTTGTACTTGATCCTGGATTTGCATATTTCTTTTTACATATTGAGCATTTCACTTTAAGACCAACATCGTCTTTACTAAATACTTGCCATACCTCACTCATATTGAATACTTGGTAGTTGGTACTTAGTACTAATGAAATAAATAATAAATATTTAATTATATGAATTCCTCAATGTATATATAAGATATAGTTAGCCACTAGTAACTACTATAACTAGTAGGTAGTAAGTACTTACTTTCGTTGTTTTGTATTTCTGTAATCTGTATAATATATTATTTAGTATAATTATTAAAATCCACATGTGCTGAATGCTGATGGAGAATGAAGACGAACTAGTTACGAATTAGTGTTTACCGTCCGACGTCCGTACTCAGGGTAAACAAGAATAATTCAATAAGAAATATTACGAATATTACGAATGAATAATAAAATATAAATAGCATCTAATAATTAACCATAATCATTATCAGTTTATTTAGATTATAAATATAAAATGTCATTGTATAATTTGGTAGACCCGCGCAAACATGCAACACTTATAATTATTGTTTTATTTTTATTTAATATTATTTGTTTTTTTTTATTTAAAAATAGATAACCTTCGGCGGCAGCAATGCCATTAGGAAGACATATATTATTTGTTATATTTAACTAAAATACCTATACCTATTTATTTTTTTGTTTTGAAATGTTATGCTTGGTTATTCGATTATTCGATTATATTCGATTATATTCGATTAATTCGATTATTCGAATATTAATCGAATAATCGATTAAAATAATCGATTAATAAAAATAATCGCACAGCCCTAGTCCAGAATCGTGCACTCCCAGAGAACATCCGAAAATCTACCAGCGAGAGAATGAATGTAATTCAAGTCTGAGCTGAAACGATATAAGACCGTTATTTATTTCTTATTGTGTGTAGGTTATTTATTCATATTATGTCACGCTGAACACGGTTTGAAAAAATAAATAAATGTTATAACGATGCACGAGTTTGCGTACTACTCGCGGCAGGTAAATGACATAGTATTGCATCCAATATTATACAGGTATATGCGAGTATATGGAAATTATAATTTAACCATTGTATTCAGTAGTTTAATTTTAGTTTCTTCTAGAGTAGGGTAGTCAGCATGTACTTATTAAATTGCCGGTTCATTTTACCAAAGTGCCAATTAACGTGGTGGTAAAGAGGATGTAATACCAGTCCAAAAATATAATGATTTGTATTTTGTACCAGGGCCGGCTCAATGTGGTAGCAAAATAGGCAGCCGCCTAGAGCGGCACTAGTGGGGGGGCGGAAAATTTCAAATGAACCAAAATAATAATATATATAGTATGCTGAATTGTATATGTTCATTGTTCAAAATATACTAAACAAGTTTACCGAGAACGCACCAGTCATAATACTGCATGAATATAAATAAAACGGCGATAACAGTGGTACATGCATTAGTCGACTACAGATGAATACACGTTCTTATCGAGTTCAGAATTATTATGTAATTGGAAAATAATGGTCAATGACACAATTAGTCCCGGACTTTTAGCCTCCCGCCTAAGGAACCTTTCCAGCCGCAACTTGGAAACCGTACCTTAACACGTAAATATTTTTTGCTGTAGACTGTGGAGTGATAGTGATAATGTATCAAGTGTATGAACGTGTACAATTTTTATTATAATACGTTTTTAACTGCAAAACTTAATTGGTATTAATTTTGTTGAATTATCACGTTAATATTTATTGAATATGTCAGAGCAAAAACGTATACGGTTATCAGGAGCTGCATATCGATAAACAAAAATTAAAACGTGATGAAGAAATTAAAAAAAACTCTGGTTCCTTTGAAAAATATTTGAAAAAAAATAATGAACTTTTAAATAATCCAGAAACACATTCTAAAATTATTTTAGAAGAATCAAATACCTTAGAAGTTACTGACAATGAAATATACACAACTTTGAAAGAATCAAATACCTTAGAAGTTACTGACAATGAAATAAACATAACTTTGGAAGAAAATACGAGTATTAAATATAATGAGAATGAAAATAACATCTGACCCCGGGACATGGCCAGCGATTTTTTCAGATTCATTACGACTTCAATTAGTAAAAACAGGTCCCACTAAACCAAATAAAGATTTCAAATATCCTAGAGATGCGTTAAATCGACGGTTTCCAATTTCAATTTTAAGTAAAATATTAAAAAATGGTGAAGTTATAGAACATACGTAGTTAATTTATTTTATTAAAAATGATGTTGTGTACTGTTTTTGTTGTAAAATATTATTTAGTAGTGAAAATTATGCATTGACTAAATTTGGCTGTAATGATTGGAAAAAACGTACACAATATAGTTAAAGAACATGAAACAAACAAAATACATTTTAATTCTTTAAAAAAATGGATGAAAATATACTTGAGCGTTTAATGGCAATCATTGAATTTCTTGGTAAACAATGTTTACCTCTTCGAGGTACAAACGATGTTCTTTACGAAAACAATAATAGCAATTTTCTCGGACTAGTACAGCTTCTGACAAAATTTGATAGTGTTTTATCAGAACATTATTAATTTTTTAAAAAAAAATTGATGTGATGAGAGTTTTGATAAATTTTTAAAAGATGCTGAAACCATAGCTCTTGAATTGGATATTGAGGCTTCTTTTACGCAACAAACTTCTATATGCCCACGAAAAAATAAAACCGTGTTCTTTTCTTATGAACAACCAAATGAACCCATAATTAATTTAAAAACTAAATTTAAAGTTGAATTATACTTTTATATATTAGACGTAGCTCTCAATTCTCTCGAAGAAAGATTTGAACAATTACATAACCACTGCGATAACTTTAAATTTTTGTATGATATAAGTAGTCTAAAAAGTATAACGAAAGATAACATTGTGAAAAATTGTATGGATCTTCAATTGCTACTCTCAGAAAATGAAAATGTTAGTAATTCAGATATTGATGCCATAGAAATGACAGATGAGTTAGTAGCAACATCCGAGTTATTAAAACCCAACAGTACTCCATTAGAAGTGTTACAGTTTATTGTAAATAATAACAATTTTGTACCAAATGTAGCTGTAGCACTTCGAATTATTTTAACTATGCCTGTGTCGGTCGCATCTGGTGAACAGAGCTTTTCAAAATTAAAAATAATTAAAAACTATTTAAGGCCTTCTATGAATCAAGAAAGATTAAGTGATCTTGCTACAATTTCTATTGAAAAATAAGTAATGGAAAATCTGGAATTTAAAAGTTTACTGATTGATTTTGCCCAAGAAAAAGCTCACAAAATTAATTTTATTTAATATATTTTTAATTTTTTAGTTAAATATTTTTTAATGTTAAATTAAATACATATTTTTATTAATTTATTTCATACCCAACATTCATTTTAATTTTATTATTATTATTTTATATTTTGTAAAGAAAACTTAAGTCAGAAATAAAAATGAATGTCCTTATTTTATTCAACCCCTTCCTCTCCAAAAAATTAACTATTGCACAGGGCAGCGTAAATTAGATTTGCCTAGGGTGGCAAAAAACCTTCAGCCGGCCCTGCCTATATACTTTGTTGATCAATTAAATTGAAAATCCTTAAATCACAAAATATAATGATAATTATATTTTCCAGAAAGAACTGACATGCAAAATGAACCATTGGCATACATATTTAGTTATTCTAACACACTTCTGCAATTTGTTAAGGTTATATAATATGAATACCTGAAACCAATTCTTTTTTCAGAAATTATTGACTTCAAGGTGTCAAAACTTCCCTCGAAAATCCTTGTGAATTAGAAATTATCATTTGACAAACATTTTAAAGTATCACAACAATATGGGTGGGCTATGTATAAAAAGGGAAAATAAGATTCATACGTAAGAAATAGGTAATTTTAATTTGATCACAATTTTAGAATTAAAATTATATTCTTCCCCGTGGCGGCTCGTGGATTTTTAATAAAGTAGAGCACATCTGAAAAAATTATAAAAAATATTATATATACAACGTTAAAAGTTTTTTGTTTTTTGTTTTTTTTTACGTCGGTGGTCGATAGTAAATAGAAACACGATTGTTGTTTTGAATTAAAGTTATTGACTAACATTATTAGTCGATTATCAGAATATAATAAACAAATGAGAGTAAAAATAAATCATAATGCCGATACCGACGCGGCGACATCGAAAATAATTTGCTGAAAACATTTTAATTGGGTATGTGCACAGAAATGAATATGCACATCAATTCCATTATAACGCGTGTTGTGTGTTTTGACTTGTTTTAATTTTAATTTTACATTATACAAATGTGTACAGCAATAGTGTGCACTACTGCACCGCTATAACACACACACACACACACACACACACACACACCGATACTGTTCTGTCGCGGACAACCGCCTGCTCGTGTGGCCTTTGGAATAACCCAATCTAAATACTATATTATTTTCATACTAATTTGAATTTAAATTTTGAAAAATAATCTTAATAACACTACAAGTATTTAGTTGTATTATTATGGTTTATGTTTTCAATTTTTTTTGAGTTTGGGTAGGTGCACGAGCACACGAGCCGCCACTGATCCTTTCGTAAAAATGATTTAGCAGATAAAATAATTTTTTAAGATTCCATAATAATATTTAATTCCATAATCTGAAAATTATAATATTGGAAATAATTTAAATAAAATTAAAAATGTTAAATAATTTTGAAATTCTAGGGCCACTTGGAGAGGCTATGTGAAGTTGGCCCACCCTTCTGTTTTTTAATTATAACTCGCAAACGGCTTACTTGCAAATTTTGAAAATGAACTCGCAAATTCTCGCAAAATATTGGTATAGGTTTTAAGTTAATCCGTGAAAAAGGGTGGGCCTACTTCACGTACGTGGCCGTAAAGCCGCACTGCCGCAGGTGGTGCGCTTGCATACCCTGCACCAGCCGTGCGCACGCCAATGATTATTATATCATACGCGACTTTTCGGCGATCGTATTGCTGCGGGTTTTCCGTCAACCTGTCGTATCAACTATCGCCGACAAGTTGCGTACATAAATAGCTATGTGGACGAGCACATGAGTACACAATTTTTTCTCTGCATTGTAGTAAAACCCACCACGGACTTACGCTTTGCATTTAATAGACATTCCCACCCTCGGGACCTCGTCGAGCGGTTTGTGTGGCAAACAGTGGTGCAATAGTCGTAGTATTCTGGCATTGAATCGGTCGCCGCACTCATCGCATTCTATGGACCAATAGTCGGAGAATTTCGGCATTGTACCGAGTGTCAGACCGCTCGACCAGACTCCCAATATTTTCCCGAATTGTGCGTTGTCGCGGTTTAAACACACAGTATCTCTATCATTTGTTTTTATTATATGGTCAGCAAGACCACTTGTAAATTAATTTTCCATTATTAAATAGTAAACCTTATTTAAACCTTATATCGTCATTACGACATTTCGAGTACTGTTTTTCCATTATCTCATCTCAAACACTATAACAATGTTGATGATAGTAAATCTATTTCAAAATTACTAGTGTTCCAGCTATATTGGCGATTCGGAAATACGCGACTCGGTATTGCAGTACCGCCGGGAATGGTCCTGACAATACTTAAATCTTGCTTTTAATTTTGTATTGGTTAACATCACGTACGGTAACCACAAAAGTAAGAGTAATAAAGCCGTTCACAGGTACCTATAGAAATAAATGCGCGCACCGGCGTGTTTGAAAACGATCTCGAGAGTTACTTACACATTACACGCCTTTTACAACGTTTTTCGCCCTTCGTTGTTGGAATATTGTTTACAGAACCTTATGCATTTACTAAGCCAGTTTCTTACCAGTATAAGAATTTTGGTTACGACAATCGTCTAAACTGATTATATGATATGCACGTTTAGATATAAGATCTTTAATTGTGATGTATATATCACAGATATGAATAATAATATCTGTGGTATATATTATGATACTGTGTATTTTAGATAAACAATAATGTGATAACAGAGCGAATGGAGTAATTTATTGTAAATAAAAATACAATCAATCTTAATACTTTTTAGTGCAATAAATGTTGAACCCTAATAATGATTTTACTGTCGAGGTGTAACATGAGTGGTCGGCACTGTATTGGCATAACGGGTTTGTAGTGGGGTATGGTGATGCAGGAAAAACTGTCTATTTCATACTAAATATGTGCTTATTCGTTCAATAACACGTTTCTACTGTAAATGAATACGAATTATAACCAAAATGTTTGTTTAAAATGTATAAACACTACGTAATGTATTGGGTTAAATATAACGACTAAATGTTTGAAAAAGGTACAAAAAAGTAAATGTTACAATAAAACTGTTTGCTGATCGTATGTACACGAACTGTTTCTGTTACCAGTTGTCATTTGTCACTGGTGTTGATTAATGATTTTTATTACTTATATGATTATAATTTTTAATATAATTTTGCAGTGCGTTATTTAAATTAAAAAATTTTATAATTTAAATCACATTAATTATTTAAGTATATTAATGACTTGTTAAAATTGTTAAGCCTTGTTCCAACGTATTTTTTATTTCCGCTAATTATTATGTATGCAGCAGTTGCTAATATAATCTTATCTTCGCACCACATTTAAAAAAAAAAATCACTCACGTTGCAAGACAACTCGGAACACGTACTAAACACACAACTCGAATTAAAATATATTTCCTTTATTGAATTTTGTTAATTGTTCCGCAAATGTAGACGATTAGTTACAAGAAACACATAGATGTTTCTAATTGCCACTAGCTCAACTTTGTCATATTTTGCTTCGGTGTATACAGTATCTATGTTTATAAATGTGTATAGGTAGTAAAGTATTCCAGTACTTTATATTTTTTTATAACAAATTGAACATCTAAATAATTCAACTTCTATAATATGATAATTAAAATGTATTACTATTGTTGTGTCAAAGCTTGGCAATACAAATATAGAAGGATATTATTTGAACACTTCAACTTCAATTTTCTTTTAAATAAAAAATGTGTATGAATACTCAAAAAAAAAATGTAGGTATCATTTGTATTTTTTTTTAAATAATAATAATAATAATAATAAAAAAATTAATTAATACTTACATACTTATAAAACCGTATAGTACTAAAAATACATACCATTTTATGAATTTGCATTTATATACTTGGTATTAATAACCAATTTTATTAATATTGTATACTTTTTTCATTATATTTTTATTTAAAACACATTTCACAATGTGAGTAAATTTTACATAATAAATAACAAGAAATAATTTACAATAAAATAACATATAAAGTTGTTATACTTTGAAATTCCAACAAATTCCATTTACCTTAATTTATTTTTAAATATATTTTTAAACTTTGGGTCAATTTTCGTCTGGATCAACTTTCCTACGAGTATCATTTTCAGAAATTTTCTGTTTAGAAGGCGGCAGTTCATCCACTTTAATGATATCATCATTTTTGTTAATAACTCCTCTTCTGGCCTCCATAAGCAATTTCAAAAATGTTTCCTTGTCAATCGAATTATATCCTCTCCATTTAAGTAAGTCAGAAACCCGATCCTACACCACACAAAACAGATAGCAACGGGAAAATGTTAGAATACATGATAGATGTACAACTTTTGAATTCAAGACGTATACATCTAAAATTACATTATTCCCAACATTTCAAAGTAATTTATAAAAACATACCTAACAATAAAAAAAAAATGTAATGAATTAGCGAAATAAATAAGAATTGCTTTCATTATATGTTTCAAAATAAAAAAATTCTTCCATTTAAATCATCATCTAGTTCTGGTAAAAATACTCGATTATCAATAAGAATATGAAAATTAGGTACACAATTACCTATCAATGTAGAAATCGATTGTTGAAAAGTTATGTGCATTTATGATGAATAATAACAATTTTGATTTTTTGCACATTCATACTCTTTTGGTAAACTAAGTATACGTGAATAGGTATGTGTTTAATAAAGTACTAAGGTGAGTGTATATTTGATACTTAGTGATGGTTTACAAAGTTTTATTGCATTAAATCCAAAAAAATTTATGTATATAAATATAGTAGTAGTGATATTGTTTAAAAATAAGATGAATTTTGAATAGGGTTAAGGTCTTTTAATTTAGAAAATATAATAACATATGATAATTGTTTTCTAAGATATCAATTTTTTACTTCTATCACTAATATTATTAATTTAAATGCAAATACTTAATAATATATTATTAAAAATCTAATGTAATTAATTAAATTTATCAACAGTTACTATATAAATGATAATAGTCAAAACTGTACATCTAAGTTATTACTATACAGGTAATAATATTTAAATTTAGTAATGTAATAACAAGCTAATGTTTATAAATATATATATATATATATATATATATATATAATAAAGGATAGGATTATTTTAAGTAACAAGGAAAACCAAAAATTAAAAATACTATAAATGTATATATTCATGTATACATAAGCAAAGAATAGTAAGCTAGGGTAGATAAATAAACTAAAAACTGGGGGAAATACCTCTAAGGTTATATTTAGGTGTATTTTGGAAAAGTTGGACTGTCTCAGACATAGAATTATGATGTAAAAATAAGACATTATTATCAGATTTTTTTATTTAATTTCATGCAATGCAATATTTGCATCTATTATCTAACAAAAACAGAAAGTAGTAATTAAATAAAAATATTTATTTAAAAAAAATTATTAATTAATAAAAACTAAGTAGTATGATGGATATGCCTTTACAACATTTTCCCGAATTATTATTTACACAATGCCTAACATAATATATAATACTTTTAAAAATTGTATTATAAATTTAAACAAATAAAATTGAAACAATAATAATTAATTTGGAAAAAATTTTCATAAAAATATCACATTTAGTAATTGGAATTTGAATAAAATAAATAACATCTTAAAATAAATTAACGGCCTAATCTGTGCCTACACAGGAGAATAGTAACAGAAAATAAAAACTCTAATATACATGCTAATAGCATGAAGTTTAGTTGTACCTGTGTAGGATCATTGGACGTCATTATTTCTCCTATAATTTTTTTCAGTTTATCTATTGAGTTATTGATTAAAGTTCCCGTATCTTCAACAGAATCTATTTCTTCAGTTTCTAGGATCAAATTATATAATTAATTTTATATTAATAGTTTGAAGAATATAACAAATAATATTTATACCTTTAGGAAGTTCACTGATTGTGACTAAAAGATCTGGATTGATGTTTAGCATATCTAGTAGCGGTCGTGCTTCAGACGCAAATAAAAACACCAATGGTATACTTACATCATCCACCCCATCATCTGACATAGAAAATGCTCGAGATGTTATTACAGATGAATCAGTAGCATTATCAATGACAATACCTCCTACAGCACCAGCCTCTTGTAATTTACGTGCCTAATAACATAAAAAAATATGTTTAAAAGAAATTAATTACTTTCTAAAACAATGTCTTACAATAAATAGTAACCTAAAAAACAGATTAACTCTCCAATAAACTCTCCACTAGAAATTTTTGTACAGTTAACTCAAAAAACAGAGTGAGCTTATTTTCAATAAAATAAAAATATTCTTTTATATTTATAAATACATTTAAATAAAGGATTTTCATATTGAAAATTGTATAATTTAAAAATAATATTGATCATGTTCAATTCTAAACTATAGTTTGAAAAGTTAAATGTAAATTATATTCTATTTTATTTTCTATTATTCTATTTAAACACTCATATTTATGAAAAATTCAATTAGCCCTAGATAATAATAAAAAAAAAAAATCTATAAAAATTTACAATCCTTTAAAAATAAAAATATAACCCATCACTGAGATAATTCAATTTAACATCTGAAATATGATGTATGTAATATAAATATAAATATAAAATAATTAAATTAACAGTTTTTTAAATTTACCTTTTCAATAAACATGCAATCACCACGTTCTACTAAGACAATTTTTTCTTTAACAAGACTTGGATTTATTAAAGTTTCACAGCCTTTAACAGGATTTGCAACAGCAATACGAGCTGAAACCTATTAACAGTATAAACTGTATTATAAAGAATATTCAATATAAAATATATTTATACCAACCTTTAGACCAAGATTCAAAGGGAGACCAAAATTAGCAGCACCAGCATATAAAGAAACTTTTTGTCCATCTTGGTTATCAAATGATACCGATTTAGCAGAATTCACTTTTTCTTTTTGATTAACATCTTTCATAACAATATTTAATTCGGTTAAAAATTCATGTCCATCTATCTGATCATCGGGGCTGCTCTCCTGAAGAAATATAATTATTAGAATTAAAAAAATTTACCATAGCATATTAAAAAATAGCATATTTACATGAGAAGAGTTCATGAAAAGAAGTGGAAGACCATTTGGTAATTTAGTTATGACAATTCCCATAGCTTTTATCCTTTGCATATGATTCTCATTTCCAAACTATAATAATTTTTAAATAAAATAATGATGAAGAATAATTTATTAAATAAACTACCTGGAAAACTTTTGCAAACTCTCTAGCTTCAATTCTGGATTTGCGATTAGGACATAATCCATCCACCATGTTTTTCAATGGTTTTCTTATAGATTCTGTAAGTAAATTGTCAAAACTTGGACATGATCTTTTGGGTAAATCAGTCTCTTCATCTAAAATCTGTGCACACAAAAATTTATAAATTACAAGTTTTGGAAAAAAAAAAAAACACTTACTTTATCAGCATCTGTATAATTTTGTGGTTGAACAGATAAGTATAAAGGTAACAAATGTCCTTCAGTAGTGAACAAATATTCATCAATATTAATTATGAGATCATCGGATTCAGCAAACAACAAGTATAAATACTTAAACGTTTCAGCAAGCACAAATGAATCCATTCTAAAATTTTAATTTACAAATATTAATTTTTAATAACAATAAAAAAAAAAATGAGTTGAAAAAAACATCTCATTAAGGTGAATTTACAATTTACCTAAAATGAAATTTTTTTTTCTCAGATATTTAACATTGAAATAAATTATTATTACGTGTCTTCATTTGTAGTGGTACGAACATCCTTGACAGCAGCAAATCCACATTCTACTCTAGCATATTTTTGTAAAGAGTTTAATACTTCACGTCCAACATTTAGATAATGAGGATCATCAGTTGCTTTGTACAAAAAGTATGTAGATTCTAAAAACTCTGGTCTTAAAGGATGTTGTCCCCAATGCACCTAAATAAACAATCAATTATTGAATAAAGTTTGGTTCAAAATTTTTAGATCTGATAAGACTTACCTGAAAATCAGTAGTAAACGCTTCTGGTATAAAATTATGTTTTTTTACTACTTGATATAACATTTCATGTGTTTCTATTGCTGGTTTTAGATCTCCACTCAGTACTTGTAAGCCAGGCCAAAAAGCTAACAATGCATCCATAAAATTTTTTGAGTTTATTTGAGGACGGTGCATATGCACATCCAACAACATAGGACCTTGGCTAATATATTTCATAATAGCAGAATAATGCTAAATATTTAAAAAAAAAATTTCTATCATAGTTTAAATTATTTATTAAAAAATAAAAATAATTTAATTTTTTACAAACCTTATTAAATCTGGATAAATAACGACTTTCTCCAAGTAAAACATATGCTTTTAAACAATATTCATAGTATGAGTCAATACCAGCACCAACCCCAGAATCTCTTCTGATCCAATCCCCTGAATCGACATTTAAAACAGTTCCCATAAGATTAGAAGACCGATGTCTAAGACTCCAAAGACTATCCATTGATCTATGAGCTTTCTCCTGTAAAAAATACATCAACAACTATAAATTAATTATTCAAATAACCTTATTCACTTATATTTTTTCTCTAAACAATTAGGGTCATTCTTTTATTTTTACAAGTCTTATCTCCCATACTCAATTATATATCTAATTTTCAAGAAGATTAAACATTTCTTATTCTTACTTCAAATATATGTACATCAGACAAACGTGATAAAGCAGCCAATTCTAAGATCATACTTCCTGCACAAGCTGTACATGTTTCTTGAAAATAATGTAATTGATCTTTTTTAATGCCGTATTTTAAATTAACCTATAAAATAATATATATAACTAAGATTTACTAGAATAAAATAAAATAATTTTAGTTCTTACTCTAGAATATGGTATTCCTGTTGTTGTATTGAAAGCTGGCATTAATCTATACCCTAAATCTTTTGCCATAGCTAAAAGTTCTCCATTATACCATTGTAAATGGTTAGAATTTTCTTTAAAATGTTGTGCAAAAATATGACCAGATAATAATCCTCTAAAATTAACATAATTATTAAGTAGGTCATATTACTTAATAAATTATGGTTATTATGACATACATAATACATTATCAACAGTAAATTAGTAAATTAATATATTAGTAATAACATAATTATTAGAAAAAAGGTCCAATAGTTAATATTGTATAGTAATTATAAGTTGATAAAAAAATTTAAAAACTTACCCCAGTACTCTAATATTGATTTCAAATACTGACACGACTACATCCCTATCAAATGTTACATCGCTCACAACTTTTGAAACAGCTCTATCAAATTCAGGTAAATCACCAAGGACAACAAGTGTATCCATAGTATCAATTAAGGTCAAAGAATAATTGCCTAGCACATCGTCCATGTCACCACGATTATTTTCTTTTGTCCTCCACCGCCCTTTACAACTCAATGGCATGAGTTCATCAGCTGGATATGCATGGTCCATGTAATTGTTGTATGCGTGGTAGAACATTTCTTTTGCTTTTTCCATCAGACCTTGCCTCTCTTCTTTGCTCATGAATGAGCCAGAAAAAGGTTGGTCTTGAGCGATAACAAACGCCACCAACAAAACTAAGATTAACGTCCTTATCATGACGAAAGTTTAATATCTGTCAACTTAATTTAATTAAAAATTGTAAAAACATATTGAAATACAATAATGAAGTTTGTATTTACACTTTACAAATGTTATTTTGAATTACAGCACGTTTAAAATTGAAATAAATTAATGACTAAGGAATAAAATACATGATCACACACACAACAAATATTGAGAATAAAAAAATCGAATCAAATCCTATAGACACAGCCAAACATGTTTATATTACTACATCTACGTACACAAATAATTATTATATTTATTTGATACATATTTTCATTTTTTTTTTGCCCTATTTTAATGGTAATACGTAAATATCAGATAAGAGAATGTTAAAATTATCAAACAGTGTCGCCATGTTAAGAGCACTGAAATTATATATCAATATGTGATTTAATTACGTTATAATATAATAATATTATAACTATTGTAATATATAATTACGATATAATTATATTATAACGCTTAACAAGTTTTGGGGACGCAATTTTTTAAGCAAACAGAGTTCCCCTTCTTAAATTTTGCCAAGTCAAGCACTGCATAAATTCAAAATATGTCAAGCTTAAGGCCATTACACATACTTTTTTTTATACGCTAGATAAGGAACTTCTATATAATTTACATCGATATCAGTGAAGCTCATGCACAGTTATTACAGGGGTATTCCCATAGGGTAGTGTTTCCCAACTTCTTTTACCCGCGGAACCTTTGCAGGAGCTTAAACGTTTTGTGGAACCCCAATATTTTTTCTATAATATTAATACAGACATATGTATTTTACACTTAAATGAGTGAGTTATCGGACACTTCCGGCACAAGAGTGTCATTAATATAAAAAAAACAAGACGGTTTTAACATTTTATTTTGCTTGTTATCTACTATTACAATATTATAAATGTACCTACATATCAAAGCTTAAAATTTAATATTTGCCTCTCATTACTTCGAAGATAGATTCAATGAGAAGATTGGAATCATTCCATAGTGTTTTTTCATAACTGTTTTTAAATCTGAAGTTATCCCTGAAAGTTGGATTTGTAAGTCCGGAGCCGCATTTACTTGATTTCGAAACTTAGTCTTTGTATACGCCGAAAAGCTACAAACTACGAACCTCACATCGGGAATTGTTTCAATTCCAGTTCTATGTTCAAATCATAGTTAAAATCAAAATATTGCTAATTAATTTATATTTTCCCAAATTTCTCACGAAACCCTTCGCGCAAACTCACGGAACCCTTAGGTTCCGCGAAACACCAGTTGGGAAACACTGCCATAGGGTATACTACATATACGTCGTATACTCAAGATTTTTTTTCAATATTATGGGTATACTGCGTATACTCTCAATCACAATCAATATATGATTATATCGATCCATATTTTGTGATATATATATATATATATATGATAGGTACTTCATAGTAATAATGGTACGTTTTTTCTGTCGAATCTTTAGATTATTTTTACGATGTATTTATTGTTATATGAATGGCTGGGCGAAACACACCAGAATGGTGACTGCGGGTCTATAACAAACCAGTTCCCTAAATTTATAACTGGAATAAACACTATAGTCCAGCGGTTCCCAACCGGGGGTACGTGTACCCCTAGTGGTACTCGCGATGATCTCAAGGGGTACGCGAAAAAAAATTGAGTAATGGCGGAAAAATATTGAATTTGGTTAATTTAAAACTATTCGTTTCGGAAATATGCAATATACGTTATTACAAATGAAAATTTGTGTTACGCAAATAACAATTTTTTCTTATCTTATAGATGTGGATTACAGAGTATAGAATACTATCTTATTATAGATTATATAATATTATTATATGGTAGGTTGCGGTGTTGGTGTGTATTGAACTTCAGCCGGTTTTTATTGTTGTCGTATGGGTACAACTTAATTTTATATTGGAATCAGTATGGCGAATGCTTTCAAACTATGATTATTGTATGAAAACTTTTCTTATTTATATTTTATAATTCGTTATTTTCCATTGTTTTCAAATTGTTGTCGGTGGTTTCTAAATATTCTGTAATTTAATTTAAATAAGTACATTGTGATAAATATGGATCAATGGTTAAAAACTGGTACAATAAAAAAACTAGACCAAGTTGAAGAAACTATTCATTTAACAAGTACTTCTCAAGACTTAGCTAAAAAATTTGGTACAACACACAGAAAATGCACAGTCTTCAGTTCTTCAAAAAGGTAAAAAGAGAAAATACATTGATGAATATGTAAATTATGGATTTTCATATGTAGGAGATTTTGACTATCCTAAACCTAAGTGTATTGTGTGTGGTGAAGTATTGTCGAATAGCTGCATGAAACTTTCTCTACTCTTAAGACATTTAGAAACAAAACATGCCGATTATAATAATAAAGAATGTGATTTTTTTAAACGTTTATCTAGAAATAATGAGAATACGTCGATTTTGACATCATATATAAAGTCAGCTAATAAAGATAACCAAAACGCGATTGAAGCTAGTTATCGTATTGCAAAATGTGGTAAGAATCATACAATAGCTGAAGATTTGATTTCTCCTTGTATAAAAGATACCGTTCAGTGTATGTTTGGAGAAAAGAACGTAAAAAAGATAAACAGTATTCCTCTTTCAAATAATACAATTTCTCGTCGAATTCAAGATATATCTGAAGATATTGAGTTGACAGTAATAGATAGAATAAATAAAAGTAAAATTTTCGCTATTCAAGTTGATGAAAGCACCGATGTTGCCAATTTCGCAGTTTTACTTATTATTGCAAGGTATTTAAATAATAATGAAATCGAAGAAAATGTTTTGCTTTGTCATTTATTGTCTGAACGCACAACTGGTGAAGATTTATTCAATGCTATTGATTGTTATTTCAAAAAAATGAGTATTAATTGGTCCAATTGTTGTGGACTATGTACCGATGGTAGAAAGTCAATGTCGGGTATATATTCTGGTCTTCGAGGTCGTGTTATGAAAATAGTTTCTAATATAAACTGGAGTCATTGTTGTATTCATCGACAGAGTTTAGCATCTAAAAACTTTCCAGGAGAACTAAAACTCGTTCTTGATGAAGCTGTTAAATTAGTCAATTTTATAAAAGCAAGGTCTACAAATTCGAGAGTATTTAAAGCTATATGCGAAGACATGATGAGTCCTCATTCAAGTTTACTTTTTCACACAGAAGTTAAGTGGCTATACCGTGACAAGGTACTTACACGTTTATTTGAACTAAGACATGAGGTCCAAATATTTTTTGAAGATCATTCTTTTCAATTATCTCCAAAATTACACGACTGCAATTGGCTTCAGGCGCTTGCGTATTTATCTGATATTTTTTTACAAATAAACAATTTATATTTGGCACTTCAAAAAAATTCAATAATGATTTTCAGTGTTTCGGATAAAATTAAATCAATGCTTAAAAAATAGATTTTTGGAGGGTATGTATTGAAAATGACCAACCTGAGTTATTTGAAACGTTACACAATTTTCTATCTGAAAATAAACTAGTTATGTCTCGGGAAATTAAGAAAAACATAATTGAACATCTGGAAAGGTTAAAATTATCATTCAAAAAATACTTTTCCAAACCTGAAAAAGAAAACAATTGGATTTCAAGTCCTTTTAATGAAGAATTCTTTCAAAAAGCGACATCTTTATCGATCGTAGAAAAAGAAAACTTGATAGAACTTTCATGTGACACGACTTTAAAAAGTGAGTTTAAAAGAAAACAACTTATTAATTTTTGGGTAGATATTAGAAACGAATATGAGCGACTCTCTGACAAGGCAATTGAGTTCCTATTGTCATTTACTAGTACGGAGTTGGTCGAAAGAGCGTTTTTTTCATATATATTTATTAAAAATAAGTATAGAAATAAACTTAATGCAGCTCCAGATTTACGATTATATCTCGCATCATTTGAACCTAATATTAAAAAACTATGTAATTTGAAATAGGGTCAAAGATCTCACTAATTATTTTCATTTAAATTTTTTGTTTATTAAATAAGTAAAATAAGTAATTTTTTTATGTGTCTTATTACTCAATATAAAAATATATACATTATTAAATTATATTATATTATTGTTATTTTTAATTAAATGTTTTAAGAGTATTTATGTGAAAATTTTTTAAAAATATTAAGCTTAGGGGTACAGAAGGAAAAAAAGGTTGAGAACCGCTGCTATAGTCTATAGTCATAGTTCATAATCGTTAGATATTCAGATACCAAGAAATGTCGTATCGCGTACGGTGAAAGAAGTGGTGTACACAATTAATCACTAATCAGTTTATCCGTTACCAGTTTACCACCAACACGTAAAGTTTATAATACGATTGCACTTTGTGCGACCTACTGTTTAACGTTTAACTTAAACGTAAATAAGTAAGTTATGAATTGTAATATTAATTATAATTTACTAGAGTAATATTTTTATTTGAGAAGTTTTATTAAATTCAACATTTAGTTTAATAAATTTTCCTATAACGACGTATAACTATATAGAAATAGTACTGACTCTAAAGTGTTATTTTTATTAAAATATGACTTCAAATTCTAAACGCGCAGGCGGCACACTTGATAAGTTTTTTATACCACGAGAAAAAAAAAACTAAAAGCACTACTAATATTGATATTTCTGGTACTAGTTCATTTTTAGTAACGCCCAATGAAGATAGTTTTGATTTTTCTGTTGATAGGCAAATTCAAAATGTATTAAAAGTATCCAACATTTAGCCGACACAAAAGAATTATTATTTATTATTATTTATGCACAAAAGAACAGGTGATAGAGTTTCATGGAAAAAATCCATGGTTAAATAGTAAAAATGGAAAACTAGGATGTAATACTTGTATTCAAGCTAAAAATAGTATTCAGTTTCAAAAATCTAACTTGGATAATAAAGTTCGAATTTCATCTGAGTGGTTAGGCTTTGAAATAGTAGCAGCTGAGAATAGTAAAAAAAAATCAATTGGCTTCATTGAGAAATAAAATTAAACAACATTTAGAAAGCAAAGCTCATGTGTTAGCAGAAAACATATTAATGAAAAGCTCAAACAAAGTATGAAATAAGATGTTTGAACGTATATCTGAAACAGAAATGGATTCCACGACTCGAATTTTTAAACCAGTATATTGCTTAGCAAAAAATCACCGTCCCCTTATCCAGTTTGAAGAACTAGTATAATTACAACAAAGCAATGGATTAAACTTAGGCTCTTCCTTACATAGCAGAATAACTGCCTCTCGAATGGTAAATGTCATTGCAAAGGAGATGCGCAAACGATTTATTTCACGTCTCATACAGTCAAATTCGAAATTTACCATAATGGTGGATGAATCGACAACGCTGAGTACCAAATGCACACTAATTGTGTATATTTTATCATATGTCGATGCAGAAATGCCAATTGTAGCATTTTTAGATCTGATTGAGTTAAATAGACAAGATGCTGAAAGTATTGAGAAAGCTCTTTGGTCAAGTTTAAAATTTAATGGAATATCATCATCGTTTGCATTAAATAATTGGATTTCGTTTGCCAGTGTGATGACAGGTAAGAAAAGTGGAGTTGCTACTAAACTGTGTGAGAAAATTCCCAATCTATTTACTTGGCATTGTTTATGTCATCGACTCGAACTCTCAGTATACGATGTTATAAAAGATTGTACTCGAGTATCCAGTTTCCAAAGCTTAATGAATAAACTATATGCTTATTATCATCAAAGTCCCAAAAATTCAAGGGGCTTAGACAAATCTTGTGCTGAAGTAGGCATAGAAATGAAAAAAAAGTCGCGTCTTGAATGTACGTTGGCCTGCAAGCAGTTTTCGAACTATAAAGGCCATATGGAATAATTATCCTGGAATATATTTACATGTTAGTAAAGAACATGATGCGATATCAAATGGCATACGAAGTAAATTAGAATTCTCTTCTTTTTTAGAAGAACTTGGACTCTTTTCCGATGTTCTTTCTGAGCTTGCAATGTTATCTTGCATATTACAGTCCAAAAAAACAACCTTAATGAGTGCCCAATCGGAGATGAATAGAACAGAATCTAGTTTGCAGAATCTAGTTGACAGAATGCGGCATCGCTTATTTGATGACTCAAAAGATAGTACAATGCTAGAAGATCTTCAGGTAATGAAAATTGCAAATTATAATAATATTAAATTTAAATTTTACAATTATTTAAACAGCATAAATGGCATTTAAATTAAATGTTTTTTAGGTGCTTGATGAAGTGTTCAAAACAGCAACTAATGATGCCAAGGGAGAAGATGAAGTTAAAATAGTATCATGGAAATTAGGTTTATCCGAATTTGAAAGTGTAGTTGACTTCCGTTTAAGAAATGCTTCATCAAGTTTCATGAAGGCGTTAACCATACTCCCGACTTCAACAGCTGATTGCGAACGAGGATTTTCAGATATGAACTTGACAATAACTGATTTGAGGACTAGTTTTAATATCGAAAATGTGTCAGATTTGATGTTCATCTCTATTAATGGCCTTTCAGTTGCAGATTTCAATCCACGACCTTATGTGAAGATTTGGTTGAAAAATCACCGTTCAGCAGTTTCAGCTCCACGAGGTAAGAAACGACAAGAATTAAACGATGAAAATAAGTTGCAGAAAATGTTTTTTACCAATGTATTTTCTTAATCTTTTTAATATTCGTAAAGATTGACGATAAATAAATAATATACGTAATATAAAGAGGATATATAAAAAATCTGGTTTAAAATTTTTTCCATATTATTGACACGCTATTTATCGGCTTTATTCCTATAAACCATAAGTAAAATATTTTTATTGTATTAAATGTTTATATTTGATGATACGAGTATAGTATACCAAGGGTGACCAGCGAGAAGCGAGAAGAGACTCGCGAGCCACAAAATATATTAAGAAATATGGAAGAGCCAAAATGTAAAAAAAAAAAGGTCATAGTATGGCCGCGGTTTGGTCACCCCTGTAGTATACTCTCAAAAAAATTAATGGGAACACCTCTGGTTATATATATCATGAGGTATAAACATTTATAATTATAAATAAAGTGACTGCAAACAAAAAATTATATTCGGAAAACATATTAATACAAATTAAGTAAATAAATGACAATGTTATAAAAATATAATTTAATAGAATTAATCTTCTTTACGTATCCAATAATTTGTAAACCAAAAGATTAAAATTACTTTTGTTTTTAAGAGCTCTTTCACACGAGACACTTCGTAGTCGGTTACATAACCGGCCACTTGAATCCCACAACTGTTTACAAAAAGTTCTTATTTGTATACATTGTTTCAAACGATAAACTTGTCGTGAGTGGCGTGCAGATCCCTTTTTCCATGTGGGGCAAAGTTAATTTTTTTACACCCACTATTCACTCAAAACTAAAAGTTGCAAATAATATGTTTTATTAAGAGCCTTCATACAATTATATGTATAATAATATATTTATTAAAAAAAAAAAACAAAAAACATTTTATTTTAGTTATTTGAACATCAATGCATCCTTTAGAACCTGTGATGATAATCCAAATGTATCAATAACTTCATTATAGTTAATTTGTATGTCTTTCTCATAACTGATTAACATCAAACTTTCCAGTCTCTTTTGATCAATAGTGGATCTTAATCAGTGACGTATTTAATATATACGCGCCCCGGGGCAAAATAATTTTTCCGTCCTTCCCCTTTATAAAAAAAAAAAATATATATATATAAATAAATTCAAAGCTAAGCAATAAAAAAATTAATTTTATGAAACAAATTATAAATCAGTTGTTTTACAATATTGTAATTATAATAATACATATCCTAACGTTAATCTAATTTTTTTTTCAAAGTGAATATTCCTTTTTTAAAAAAAAAATATTTATATATATAAAAATATATTAAATATAGAAAACGGAATTAACGCTTATTATATGCACAATGATTAACAATACATGGTTTTTTATTAGATTATATATATTATATTTATTACTAATTGTATGTAATAAAATAATCAATAGCTCATAATTTTTTTCTTGACTTTTGAGAAGAAAAATGTTCAATAATATCATTAAAATTAATAGTTTTCGTTAAATTAGCTTAAATGTTGAGGGTTGTTAATTAATTAAGACGATATTCTCCCTTTGTTGATCTTAAATAAGTTTTGACCCTTTTTAATGTAGAAAATGATTTTTCCGTTGTAACTACAATTATTTGAAAGTGTACATACATAGCATCCTTAGAGGAATATCAATATAAGGATATACTTCAACTAAACTATTCTCTTTTATAAATGCTAACATACATTGAACACTTTTAGGTACAATTTTACTCCTTTTGTAAACTTTTTAAATGTGCCCTAGAGTACCGCGTTCTGTGTACCTGAGTCTTTATTATAAACATTGAACGAAAATATAATATCTTATCGAATAATAAATGTAATATACCTATTTTGCTATTTCACTATTACCTAGGTGACTAGGTATACGAGTAGTATAATTTTTTTAATTTCTTATTAGATGCTCAACAATATTTTTTAAAATACTAAACAATACCGAAAAAGGTGTGAAAATTAAAAAAATCATGAATTATTTATTATCATTATTATTCGGTTTTACAAATTCGAAGGTTCTCGTTAAATACGATAATACAGTACCATTTTGACTTTCCGCTATTAAATTTAAATTTATATTGGTATTTGTACTGTGCATAGTTAAATGGACCGGGTTTTCTGAGTGCACATCACAGTTGGAGAAAATAGTCATTCTGCCCACACCAAAGATTTCGATTTTATGATTTTTTGCTGAATTTAAACAAGTAATAGTACAAAAATCGGATTTTGTATAGAATAGCTATGAGTTTGTATTTGTCAAACTATGCCATACTGAAGTGTCTAATGATAATAATTTTATTTTACAAGTTTTTGGTGTATTCTGTCTATTAGTTAAGAGTGAGGTTTCACACATGTCCGACTTCGATCTTTGGTGAACAGGTTGACTATTTTTACAAAGTTTATGATTCTTAAATTCTTTACATGCTTTCCATTGATTTTCAGTCAAAACGAAAAATTTTTCGTTATCATTACTAAGTGCAAGGTACTCTACGTCAGGTGCTATTAGAACTACCGAATTATCATCATATGGAATTGGTAAAGTGATTGGTTTAAAAACTTTATATTCGTCATTTGAAACTAAAGGAATTTTGGCTATGAAAATTATGAAATGATCCATTTGCGCCTTTCACCTCCCCCCTCCCTTAAATGCGCCACTGATCTTAAACTGGTTTTGATTAACTTCACCTAAATTATAAATAAAAATTAATTAATAAATAAATCTATAACATTTTGTTCACTCAGAAGGTATATACCTTAGAAAAGGTTCGTTCTGCCGACGCTGAAGTAGCAGGTATAATTCCAAGCGCCTTTATAAGCCAATTATAAGTTTGGGAAAGCTGACATCAAATTATATTTAGATAGTACATGTAAAATTGTATTGACTGTAATTTTGGTTTCCGGATTTGCTAGATCTGTGTTGTTCTCATCGTCAGTATTAGTATTATCACTTGAATCTGTATCATATGTATCATCTGGGCCATCTGGCTTGTGTAACAATAATGGAGTTTCTAATCCAGAAATAAGATATCTTAAACTATGACTAAACATAATGTATTCACGTTTCAAATCATTTCCGTTAATATCTTTTAACCAATCTGATATATTATGAAAACTTTTTTCTGGAATGGATTTATTGTCTTTTTTCATATTCATCAGTCGTCCAGGAGATAAAACTTTAAATATTTCTCTGGTACCACTAAATCTAGAATTAATTGATGAAATTATTTGACCAAATACTTTAAAGCAGCGGTTCCCAATCTTTTTTCCGCGGTGCCTTTTTTTGGACAAATTTAGCCACGGTGCCCTGCTGTGAATAACGTGAAAGACGGAACAAAACAAAAATACTCACAGATAATCGATTTTATTAATTTTATTAGAATTTAGCTAAATTATAAATTAATGGATTTTTGAACTTAAAAAATAAATGAATAAAAATTATTGTTATTACGATCATAATTATTACATAAAAATATTATAAGGTTAAAATGAGAATGTCCGAATATACAATAGAAAATATTATATTATTTGCTAAACGTTTTAACGGGAATAATAAGGAAAAAATATGCTATAAATTTTAAACTATTTGTTATGAATCATAGGCCACTGTGCCCTTGAGAAGTGTTCGGGGTACCCCTAGGGCACCGCGGTGCACGGTTTGGGTACCGCTGCTTTAAAGTATGTATTTGTTCTATATTTATTAAATGCAGAAACATACTTCATCATAAATATTTTCACCAGGCATTTTTTTTTCTTCCTAGTTCTAGTTTCTTTAAAACTTAACTTTGATACGTTATATTTTTCTACCCCTGTGGGTGGGGGTTAGGATACACCCATGGTAGTCCATGCCCGTCGTAAGAGGCGACCAAAATGGACATAGTAGTGGGAAGCAGCGCTGCTATCAAGTGTGAATTGTTATTTCTGTTGTGCAAAATCTTCAATTATATCTTCGAAGTCTAGTTTTTGCAGGAGATCACTTTCTATGCACATTATTGACAAATTAGTGAGCCGTTCTTGCAACATAGTTGTTCGTAATTCGTTTTTTATTCTTTTCAGTTGTGAAAATGAGCGCTCCCCACTGCAATTGGTGATCATGAGGCAAAGGAAAATCCTTGTGGCAACTTCCACGTTTGGGAATGTTTCTGCTAATTTGTCTGCTTTTATTTAAGAATGTATATCTAAGATACTTAAGTCCATGGATTCATTTTTGAAGGTTTTCAAGTATTCCCTTAAATGAAAACATTCTGAATTTAACTCATTAGTGTTTATGCCTTCACAATAGAAATCTGCCAATTCTTCGCATTTTTTTTCAAATGATAAGGTTTGATTGTTTGTAACTGAGTAAAAAAACTAAAACGTTCATTAATTTCTTTGTATGATTCCGATCGTTGCTTTAAATGTGTATTTAGCGTGTCGATTATGGGAAGGAACGTTTCTACATAAAATTTTTCTTTACCGGCCAACTGCACAGTCTCTGATGGGGTTTCCAAAAAAGTGATACGAGTGCTGTGAATTCTTTTTCTTTGCAATTTATCTTTGTAGTCAGAATTTGGATTTATTTCTTTGGCGGCCGATTTATACTTATCAAAATTATTACGTGTATTACTAATATACTCGCTAAGTGATGCAAACAGTTTTGTTGCAACGTCCATTGTTATAGTATTATTCTGTAGACTTAAGCTTGTTTTATTTATAGCTCCCAGAAGGTCATTCCATGTCTCAGTTAGGATAATGGTCTCCAATTTTTCCATTTTTTTTGCCAATATCTTGTGCCTCGTTTCTCGTTTCTGCTGATTGATCAGTGTTTTTAGCGATTAATAATAAAGCTTCAAAAATATGATAATAACCATTATGCAAAGCATTAATAGCATCAGCGCGTGCAGACCACCTGGTTTCAGATAAGCTTTTCAGAACTTTTTTTTCGCATAAACATTCTTTTAATATCTTCCATCGATTGTTTGAACTCAAAAAAAATTGAACAATTTCCGGGCGAATTGAAAGTATGCTACTACTTCTGAAATACATCCAACCGCTTGGGCGCCTACTAGATTCAACGAATGTGCTGCACATGGGACGAAAATTGCAAATTTACATTGCTCTTTAATTCTTGCCTGTAGACCAGAATACTTTCCTGCCATATTTGCGGAGTTGTCGTAATTCTGCCCACGACAATTTTTATTGGAATTTTAAGGTTTTCCAAAAAGTTTAAAACCGTATCTGCCATGTATTGCGCTTTATGCTCTTCGATAGGCAAAAATAGCAAAAATCTCTCAATAGGCTTTCCGTCTTTAACAAACCGTACAATAAAAGTGAGTTGGTCTACATGAGACAGGTCTGGTGTGGAATCGACGCTTATTGAGTAGTATTTTGCTGCGTTTATTTCACTAATAATCGTTGTTAACATTTTTTTTCCTATTATATTAATAAATTCTTTGCAAATATTTGCAGAAAAATATGATGTACTTCCTTTTCCACGATTTCCGTAGTTTTGTATATGATCAGCTAGAAAAGGATGAAACTCGCTTATTAATTCTAAGCATCCCAAATAATTACCGTTATTTTGAGATCCCAACATTTCATCATCACCACGAAATCCAAGTCTTCTTGAAGCCAAAAACTTCACCACAGCAACAATCCTTTTGAGTACATTCTTCCTATAATTGATTTCAGCATTGTATTGGGAAATTAATCCATTATCCACTCGAGCAATAGTTTTGCTTTTTGAGACACACTTCATCATTGATTGCCTGTGTAGTGAATTATTCTCATGCTCTATTAAAAAGTTACTAATATGCTTCCAATCTTTGTATCCGTTAGAAGAACTCAAACTGTTGCCTATAATAATAGTATAATTAAAAATACGACAGCAATAACAATATACAGCTTTCTTCAACGGCGAATATATGAGCCAACTTCTTTCTACACACTCTTCATTCGTCAATTTGCGCGTAAAAACATTTCTAGTCAAGCTTCTATTTTTTGTTTTACCACTTACATCTGAAAAACTTGTAAAAGTTTCAGAAAAGTCACTATTTTTATTTTGGAAAAACTCTGGTCTTTTTTAAAATTGAATTCCTATTAAATTCACTGCTTTGACATAATTATGATATGATAAATAATCCAGTACATAATACGGGCAGGCAGAAACTGATATAAATTATTAAAGAAAACCCGGTTTAGATAATGGGATAAGAAATAGATATAAGATATCAAATGTACCTAATTGCACACAATTATTAAGTATTATTTATTTAACATTTTAACATTGCCATTTACCTAGCTTTCAATATATATGCGTATATATATATTTAATCAATGTAAACTAAAAACGCGCGCGTACGCGATACGCGTCCATGTGAAATGTGCAAATTTTTTTTTTCTAGAATTTAGAATTATTTTTTTATAGATGGTCGTATTAAATATTAATACGTTACAGCTTACAATTTAAAATTGTAATTTCGATTATTCGGGGCTCCCATTTGGATGGGGGCCCTGGGCACGTGCCCATAGGGTAAAGACGGAACTGGCACTAGAAGTACTAAAATAAGCAAAAAAAAAAAAACGTTTTTATACAAAAATTATTATTTTATTATTATTATTTATTATATTATTTTATTATTTTAGCTTCTATTATAAAAAAATTAGATACTGAATTCACAAAACGAACTAGCATGCATACAGTAAGAAAATCGGAAATGACTGCAAAATGTTAATGAAAAATATTCTGTAAATAATATGAGAATGATGATATCGAAATACCCGAATACCTAGAAACTATAAAAATAAAATACTACTGTACAAGCTACAATTACATACAATTATAATGGTTTCCTTATCGATGGGATTACGAAGTTTTGAGCGTACACTCGCTACGTCGCGCGTCACCTAAACTCGTATAGGTATATATAGTTTACCTATCTGATATTATTTAGGTTATATAAGAAGAAAAATTAATTAACACGAATTAATTATTAATATAAACTATTAATATGACAATAATTACTTGTTATTTTTAAGAAAAAATGTTTTAGGCTACTAAAAAAAAATTGATAAAAATCATGCAAAAATCCAAAAAAAAGGGGTGGCAATCAATTGGCCTACTGGCCAGCTTTCTTCAAATTTATTACAAAAAGCCCCGTGGTAAGAAAATGAATAAATTTGTGCCAGGCCTCGTGAACCGTGCCGCCGACGCTGTCTGCGTTCCGCGCGTATTAATTGGCCCTCGTAGTCCGTACAATGTTGCAGCCTGTAGGTGGTGATCTTTTCCAAACATTTTGGTTTTTTTTCCATGGTTATCGCTGGTATCTCTGTTATCAATCCTAATGTCCCGTAATTTCAAAATAAATATTTTTGATAGATAATATTTACATGTAATTTTATAAAATTTAAAACTAAAAATAATAGTGAAATACTATTGATTCACGATTCAAGTTTTGGTCGTTTGAAAAGCTATGTTGTGGTCGAAGTGCACATCGTCTCTTATTACAGTATTACTGTTTCTCTCCCGGAAACTTCATAACATCCGTTTTCCATAGTTTAAATGATTTATGATTAATGGTAAAGATTTGTTTTGATTTCAAACTATGCAGGCGAAGAAACGTTTCCTATTGCTGTGGTTCATTGCATTTTTTGTTTTGGTGATGTGCTTACTGAAAACTAATCGAAACTCAGATGATTTTCTTCATCTGGCCTACCAGATAGATGATGTGGAGGATCTACCGTCATTTATGGATGATTGGCAACAAAATGTGGAAGTTGGTCGTCCTCCAGCATTTAAAATCTACGAGACTAGACATCAGATGCTATTTCACTCATCGTATCGGAAAACCAATAAAAATTGCAGGTTTATTAGAGATTGTTATTATTAAAACTAAAACAAAATATAATAAATATAATAGTAATTGCAATATAAGCTCATAAGTTTTAATACTGAATGTTTTATGTTTACAGAATGGAAACATGTTTTGACTCTTCTCACTGTGACAAAGATTTCAAAGTATTTGTATATCCATTATCTGAATTGGAAAATAATGGGTTGATAAATTCAATCCGTAGTGTTTTGTATCAAAAAATGTTGGATATTATTGTAGAGTCCCGTTATTACACGGATGAATACACTAAAGCTTGTGTATTTGTGGTTGCTATAGATACATTAGATCGGGATCCCTTATCACCAGACTATGTACGTAATATTCCTATGAAAATTCAAAGACTTAGACATTGGAATGGAGGCCGTAACCATATAATTTTTAATCTTTATTCTGGTTCTTGGCCTGATTATAATGAAGATGATCTTGGATTTTATACTGGTGACGCTATACTAGCTAAAGCTAGTATGTCTGTTACAAATATGAGACCTGGTTTTGATATTTCATTTCCATTATTTCATAAAGTAAATAAATAAAGTGTGTTTTATTCAATAAATTTAATATTTTTAATTTTGCTTATTAGAAACATCCAGAAAGAGGTGGAGAACCTGGATATGTTCGTTCAAACACATACCCTATTACTAAAAAGTATAAACTGGCTTTCAAAGGAAAACGGTATGTACTTGGCATTGGGTCAGAGACTCGGAATTCTATTTTTCACTTACATAACGGAAATGATACAATTGTAGTAACAACATGTAAACATGGAAAAAATTGGAAAGATGCTCAAGATGAGAGATGTGATGTTGATAATTCATTATATGAAAAGTAATTAATGTTTGAAATTCTATATCCTCATTAAATTATTATTTTAATGTTATTTTTTTTATTTTAGATATGATTATGCATCACTTCTTAAGAATTCAACATTTTGTCTAGTTCCTAGAGGACGTCGTTTAGGATCATACAGATTCTTAGAAGCCTTACAAGCTGGTTGTATACCTGTGTTACTGTCTAATAATTGGGCTTTACCTTTTGACGAAGTAATAGACTGGAATAAAGCTGTGATATGGGCCGATGAGAGGCTGTTGTTTCAGGTGCCTGAAGTGATTCATTCTATATCAGACACTAAACTATTTGCTTTGAGACAACAGTCACAAATTCTGTGGGAACAATATTTCAATACAATTGAAAAGATTGTTTTTACCACTTTTGAGGTAAGATTATTTGAAGTTTTATTGTTATATTAATATTAGCTTTTATTATTTTATTGTATGTTGTTTCTGTTTTAGATAATTAAAGAGCGTCTACCTAAATTGCAATCTCGTGATGGTGTTGTTTGGAACACATCTCCAGGAGCTCTAGTCTCACAACATTCATACACAGAATATTTTAATTTCAATATGCCATTTAATTATCATCTTCTTGGTAAAAAACCTAGTTCCAATTTTACTGTAGTAATATTCTCTCAACATAATAGTATTAATACAGCACTATATCGATTAATTCGAAATATAGTTGCTAGCAAATACCTAACTCAAGTAAATAATTTGAGATATTATTTTTCAGAATACAAATAAAACAATTCAAATAACCATTTACATGTTTCTATTAGATTATTATTAATTTGTGTGCTGATAATGGTGGTAAAAGTGGTTATCAAAAAATTGCTGGTATACAAATACTAATATCGTCTGGAAATGGCTGTAGCAGATTTGAGCCATTACCATTTATTAAGACTGAAGCCGTATTGTCATTAGATGATGATGTAGTTTTAACTACTGATGAAATTGATTTTGCATTCCATATATGGCAGTCATTTCCTGATCGAATTGTTGGCTTTCCAGCCAGATCACACTATTGGGACAATAGCAAGGTAAATTATTTAATTATACATATATAATAATGTATATATTTTACATTTTTTTTTAAAATCAATTAACATCATAGTATATAAATCTACATTTTTATAAATTCAAAATATAATTTTTAGTATGTAACATTTTTAACTTTTGTTATACTATTATATTATTAAATCAAAGATTAAATAACTTAATCTTATTTTTATTAGAAGTATAAAAGTATGCTTTTAAAACTCTAATTATGATTGCTGATTAATATTTAGAAATTTGCCTAGCTATATGACAGGAATAAACCTTTTAAACAATCACTGTTTTCATGTATGATGACTGTTTTTATTTATTATGTTGTACCTATGAATCACTGCAATATACCATACATAATCTTAGTTTAAATTTTAAAATGAGTATTTCAAGAAGTATTACAAAAATAATGTAATTATAATTGAAATTCATGGTATTTACATTAATATGCAAAAAAAAAACTTAACAGGACTCTTGGTTATATACATCAAAATGGACAAATGAATATTCAATAATACTCACAGGAGCTGCATTCTATCATCAGTACTATAATACATTGTACACTCGATGGTTGAGTCCTTTATTAATTAAAACTGTTGAACAATCACATAACTGTGAAGATATACTCATGAATTTTTTAGTTAGCCATGTTACTCGTCGTCCACCAATCAAAGTATCACAAAGAAAACACTATAAAGAGCAAGTTAGCAATGGCATGCCAAAGTAAGTAATACATTATTTTTTTAAATAATATATTATGTCTATTGGTATAAAAAAAATTATATTTTAGATCGCCTTGGAATGATCCTGACCATTTTATGCAAAGACAAACTTGTTTAAATACATTTGTTGCACTTTTTGGTTACATGCCACTCCTTCAATCAAGTGTAAGGTTTGATCCAATCTTATTTAAGGATCCAGTTTCAAACTTTCGAAAAAAATACAAACAAATTGAATTGGTGACCAATTAAATTAATTTTAAATTGAAGGCTACTATTTATAAAATAATAACTTACAGTTTCATGACAACACATATAGTAAATAATGAAAATAACAGTCTTTAAAATGAGAATATTACTTATCAAATAATTATTATAATTCAAAAAGAATCAAGACAGTCCATAACAATGGTTCTAAGTTTAAGTCTCCAGTTCTTGTCCATTTTTTCACAAAATATGTGAGTAGACTTATCATCAACTTGGATTAATGTATCTTCTGATTTCTATGAACAAGTCGATGTAAAATATAAGTTAGATATTAAAAAGTAGTTTTTAAAAATTTTAACTTACAAGATGTATTGTGTATCCATGTGCATTGTGTTCAATTTTAGGATCACTCACTCCTTCATTTGTTAGAGCTCGTAGAAATCTATCAATATCAAGTTGTCCATATTCATAGGTTTTTTTAAATAATGTTTCTAATAGATAAGGCTCAGTTGACTTATTTTCTAATATGTTATCTCGCAAAATCTATATTTTGATAAAATATATTTTCAAAAAATTGTACACAATAATAAATTCATGAATTAAATACAACTTACATCTAATTTATATTTATTATCTTTAGTGTCTAAAACAGCAGTGAATGTGGATGCCTTTAATCCAGATTGTAATTCGTTTAGTGTGACACTTACTACCATCTCTGTGGAAAATGGTACATTAACTGTTTTAATATCAAGTTTTTCTGATAATACCTCTCCTCTTTTTATAGTTAATACTTTTCTATCAGTCTAAAATAATAATACAATTACAAAGTGTCATACTTATTAATATTTTATTTAAACATACTTGATCAATAACAAATTCATTTTTATGACTATAGCTAGTTGGAAACGCATAACGCTCAGGAAGAATTAGTACAGCTGGTTTAAGATCTTTAATCATTTTGTTGGCTTGAGTAAAATTCATACTTGTATCAATAGGGCAATGCATAGCCTTCATAGCTAATGGCTGAAAAGGAGCTAAAGCTTCTAAATATGGAAATTCTGGTTCTAGAATAAATTATTATTCATTAAAATTAATTTCAGAAAACACATTGTTTTAATAACATATCTTCTTCAAATGCATCATTCAATTCCAATTATATCAAAATACATAGACAAGAACACAAATATTGAGAATGAATTACAATTTCTCAGTGATAGAAATACAAAAATTAATTTAATGGTAAGAATTTTGTAATAACAACAACACATATTTTATAGAAAATTTAACATTACTAAATTATGAATTTCATTGTAAATTATTTTTAAACACATTTGCTGAATCTTAAGACGTGTGATAGTATATTAACGAAGGCACCTTATTAAAAAGTAAATAATAAAATAATAATAATAAATCAATTTTCTTTAAAAAAGTATTTCTTCAAAAAAATCTGTATAAAAACCACTCTTCCAACACTTTTTGCAATATTAAAATGTATATAAAAAATAATACTATACAAGCTATAACTGATAAATGATCCTCATTAAACCAAGTATTGACTTAAACAAACAGTCTTAATGTATGGAATTAAAATACTTTAAAACCTTGTTATTTATATTTCTAGATTCTGAATCTATTTACAAATACGAAAATATTAGATCATAATCATATATCAACTATAAATAAAATAAATAAAAAAATAGCAAATGTTCAAAACTCAATGGTCAAGAATATTGAAGATTATTTTCAATTGACTGAAATTAAAGGCATGATTTTAGAAGAATATGTACGCATTGATAAATCTTTAGGAAGATAAAAAAATATTTTAAGATTCTTAATTTAATGTTTATGATAAATTTAATTACCTGTAAATATAATTGTGTTCAGAGGATTTGTACCCCAATATTCTACAAAATGTACTACATCGCCAAATCTTAAACTTGGATGACCACAAAACACCACACAAGGCTAATAATTGAATTATTTATAAACATAATTATAAATGTTAATTATAATGTTGAATTATTAAATTTTTGTTTACTTGTCTTAAATCATTCCATAAGTCATCTGTATACACATGTTTAAAATGTTTTAAACGTCCAGATTTGACTAATTGTGCATGTGGAAATGGTTCTTCTGGAAAGTATACTTTGTTTTGTTTAGATTGTGATAGCCTTAACAGTAAATATGTTAAATAAGTCGGATTTAAAGTATTTTTCACTATGTAAGTATTATTCAATTTTTACTAACCATTCAGCAAGGATGTTGGAATACTCTAAAGAGTTATGAGCTACTGGAGAAATAAAATACATAGGAATTTGTCCTAAAGCAGTACTCTCCAAATGAGATGATAAACATTCAAATAGATCATAAACTACACCAGATGGATAACAAGGGATAAGGACTGAGCCATTATTCCGAAGTGTAACAGCAACTGATAGACAAAGTTCTCCAAGCATAGAGTCTGGATTAGCAGCAGGTGCTTGTGTTAAGCTACTTAGTAGCATAAGGTCAGCATTTTTTAAGTTCACTTGATCCATTGGTCTTTTATAAAAATTAAAAATTAAATCATTTATCATTGTAAATTTTTCTCTTATTTGACTGAAAAAATAATACCTAGGATGAGTTGTTAATGTTGAGGTGTTACTGACATAAACCAATTTCTTACTCTCCAAATATATAACCCAATTACTGCTACCAAGGCAATAACCAGAACTAACAGCTGTTACAGTCAAAGCACCAGTGATTTCCTAAACCAAATTCAGTGATTATCTACTATTTTTATGTAACAATTTAATTATAAAATGTTTACAATTTTTTGATCATAACTGATCATTTGCACTCTTGTTAAACTAGAATGAACTTGTGCAAGACTATATAACTGTTTCCATGTATATGGTTTAAAACTGTTACACAACGGTGGTGGAAGTAAATGTAAGATTTCTTTCCAATATTTAGCTACATTAGGTTTTGGTGATTGTTCAACAAAATCTACTAGCTCTTCAAGGAATAATCTGAAAATAATAAATATCTAGTAGAAATTATAAAAACTAAACTTTGTAATATCTTACTTTCCAATGTGTAAAGTTGGTTCAGTCATGTAGACAACACCTTTAAAACCAGTGTTTTCAGTAATAAATGGTAAAGCCAACATAGTCATATAGTTGGATACTAATATAACATCAATATCAGCAAAATCAACTAACTTTGTTAGCGGTGTCATGAATTCTGGTGCAGAATTCACTAGTACTTGATTCGCCATACATTCATTAAGCTCCTAATAATTTAATTGTCATATCATTGTAGGACACTAATGTTTAATTTAATAATAAATAAAAATTGTACTGTACCCCTTCAATCTGTGGGTCAGAGAAATTCTTAGGTATCCAAGCAGCTGCTTTGTTAGGCTTCCAGTCTGGTATTGGATATAAAGGTAAAAAATTCAAAACGCTGTGCGCTGACAAGCCGCAGTCCAACATAATTGTAACAGATTTCAATTTTATCACAAAACATGGTTTGTTTGGATCTTCGCTTAAACAATACTGTAAATTAAAAAAGAATAAGATTTGTGAGTCATTTTATGTTTTTTGCAAATAATTAACTGAAGTTCTACCACTTTCATGATGAATGAAACTGTTCAAAGTGTAATCATAAGGTAACACGAAATAACAGTAATATAAAAAGTAAAATTTTCTTAAATTGCTCTTAAATTATAATCAAAGTAAAATAATTTATAATACAAAAGTTATATGAATGTTAATAACTTATTGTTGTTATAAAAATCGTCTTTTTAATTATTATTATTTATTATTTAAGTTCGAATAGAAGTTAGAACCTATTTGCGGTTTGGTGCCCTTATCTCTAGTCCCTATGGTTTTGTACACAAGCCGTGGTAATAACTCTAAAACGTATTAATAATTATTATCACCGTAGAGAAGTTAACATAAATCGGAGAATTCATCCGCGTGCCGAATGTGTGATTGTAGATAGGTATTTTGGAATTTATTGAGTTTTGAACTGATAACTTGATAATACATTTTTCACCTAAGTTTTTTTTTGTACAAGATCAACATATTTTGTTTTAGTAATTCAATAACAAATACCATCGAAAAGTTTTTCCTTTACCATGGCTAGCACGTGTCAAATATTTTTTCGAAACTTTGGAACGTCGTTATCGAAAATAATTTCAACAAAACTACGAGTATCCCCGGTAGGATTAGATCGAAATTATAGCCAAGACGAGCAGCAGGACAAAACGTCTCTCAAACCAGGAGCTTTTGCTGAGTTCTACGAAAAAACTAAAGAAAACAAACAGACTGTAGAAGAGGACCAAGATTTTGAAGTGTTACTGAGAAATTCGAATTTCATAAACGTAACAATCATCAGTATTAAATAATTTAATTAGCCTTTGTAAATGTCATTTTGTTTTACAGCTTGGAGATCCGGAGGGTAAATTAGTGGTTGGTACAATATTTCATGTGGTTGATAATGATTTGTACATAGATTTTGGATGGAAATTTCATTGTGTTTGTACAAGACCGGTTAGAAATCCTGAGTGAGTTAAATAATTTTTTCTGTGGGAAAAATTGTATTCTGTACTTTTAATTTTTAAAACAACAGAATAGTGATTAAACTTTGTCAAAAAAATAATATAATATTTTATACTTAGAAGTTACTTAAAGGTTTACATTAAATACATTTTATCATTATTGTTAATATACTTTACTAACTTTTTATTTATTATTTAGTTCTTACATAAGAGGATCACAAGTAAGATTAAGAATCAAATCTTTAGAATTAGCTACCAGATTCTTAGGCTCCGAGAAAGACTTAACTCTACTTGAAGCAGATGCTATTCTTCTGGGTCTCCATAAACCAGTAAAATATTAGAACTTGTGTTAAATATTATTTTTGTAACTCTCGTACAATTATACTGTTTGAGTGATTTTTCTTTTTTGTTCTTAATTAAATCTTTGTAAAAAAAATGTATGAATTTAATAAATTAATTGTTTTTATTTCATCACAAGTTATTGAAGAAATAATTTTAATTATATTTATAGCATGTTTTATAATATAAATATTGACTTTATGATAATATATATTAGAAAAATAAAAATGTTACATAAACTTATGCATGTAATATTTTGTTAAAATATTGAAATATATAAAAATAATAAATAATTAATTAGATTCCAATATTTAATAATAATATAAAATACTGAGTTGCATGATGGGTTATTACTTATTAGTACTAATAATTTTAAATTAAATATAGTAGTATCTTATTGATTAATGTTATTTAAGGTGCATTGATTTTATTTGTATATTATCAGTGGCGCTCATATAGATTACCAAGTAGTGCGATTGGACTGATTTCTCATGGATCCCGGGGCCTATATACGTTTGGGGGCCCCACTCTGGTCTCTAGAGCAAACACTATAAATGCATAACTATTCATCTGAATCTTTAGATCGTTAAATAAAACGTAAGGAGTTGGCAGTGTCAAATATGCGAACAAATATAATGTTTAATAACTAATATAGGTAACTATAATAATGTTGATTGTGTTTGTAGTTGATGCAGGGCTCAGGAAGCTGCTCCAAGATTTATATGCTATTATGTTAATATGTTTGGTAACTATATATACTATATATAAATAAATTATGATAAAGTAATAGATATATTTTGAAAAATTGTCCTGAGCAATATCAACCGGTGAAGATTATTTTTTTTGTAAAATTTAAATTCATACCCCTATTAAAAAAAATATTGTACAGGAATTTGCAATTTTTTTAAAATTATTTAGGGTAAACATGCATTTGGAAAAAATATTATTTCAATCAAATGAATATAGTCGTATAGACTTAGACCAAAATAAATTTGGGGGCTCTCTATAATTATAACTGCACTGGTTCATGGAAAACTTGTGGGCGCCACTGCATATTATATTATTTTTCATAAGCCTATGACTCAATTTTATTATATTATTTAATATAATTAAATTTGAATACGTTACATTTATCAAATTAAAATGAGTGCTTATTTAGTACATGTAAACTGCAATAAACTTAACACTTCAGTGTCAATGATAAATAATAGTATTGTTTTCAAAAAGCTTAAACTATATAGTTTTTTAATTGTACAAATTCTTATCAAATATTGTTATCTGTATTTGTTCATGAACATTTATTGATAACGAGTTGTTTATGTCCTCACTCCTCAATCAAAATTTGTACAATTATTATAAATTTTAACTAATTATATTCATTATGACTGAAGTTTCTGAGGATAACATAGTTTTAGAAGGATTTTTATGTCCTATATGTAAAGTAGACTTTGGTTTAGATCTTAAGTTATATTTACATTTCCAAGAAGCTCATGGTGAAGATCAAGATCTAGTCAAATCATTCAAAGGTATGATGTCTGGATTTGAAAATTTTATTCAACTGACAACTGGACCATGATATATAAAACAATATTTATTTGGTTTTATAGATTTATTTGGCAAAGCTAAAGAAAAAATTTTAAAAAATGATATTATAAGAAAAGAAGAACGACATTATATTGTATGGGAACCACAAGAAATAGGTTTGTTGAAATTGTTCATTATTTAATTAGTATTAAAATCGTTGAATCCTTGTCACATTTTTAGGAGCATCTAGGTCTCATATTGAGTATTTCAAGAACTGTCGTAATAAATGGGTTGAACACTTTGTTATGGAAACTAATAAAACAGTTGTACGACTTGAAAAGTTACTTTGCAACTTACCTCAGGATCCAAATAAACGAAAGGGTATATTCTTTTTACTTGGTAGTGAGTTTTTGAATCAAATGAAATTTATTATTTATCTACCTATAATGTAGTTCATGAACAAACTACGGTTCAGTGGTTAGATGGTAAAGATGTACCACGATGTCCAGATTGTACCAAAATATTCAATATAACCAGGCGACAACATCATTGTAGATTGTGTGGTTCTATAATTTGTCACGATTGCAGCTGTTTTTTATCGTTGTCTAAAGCATGTTTGTACTTTTTCTGAAACATTTAATCAATTAATTTACAATAAAAAATTTAAATAACATTTGCTCGTTATGGAAGTTAAGTTATAAAAAAGTTATATTTTATTTTGGTAGATGAAACAATAAATGAAACAAGTAAACATCAAATGGCTTCAATGAATTTACCAAGTTTTCGTCTTTGTTTTCATTGTGGACAAGTGTTGGAAAATCGAGAGCAAATAAAGTATCGTGATCAGAAACCACCTTTATGTGATTGTTATGATAAAATCATAGAATGCCAGAATAAAATTGATAATGACCTGTTGATTAAATTTAATCAAACATATAACTTACTAAAGTATAATATTTAATATTGAATATAGTTTAAATAAAAATTTTAAGACAAAACTTTTGGTAATTGTTTCAGAGAAGGAGAATTGTCTTATCTTACTGAAGCTAATAACATAAGAAGTAATATTGGTAAGCTTGTAGAAGCAATTGATGTCCTTAGGTAACAAGATAAATATTAATCACATATTTTTTAATTATATTGATCAATATTGATACTTTAACTGAACTGTTATTCAGTAACCGAATATTAAAGATGGAAAGTGTTTCAAATTCATCGAAGGTAATTTCTAAAAATATTAAATTGGCTATGATTCAGTATGTTCGATCTACAGTAATTGCAATACCAGCTCTTCCTTCTATTAAAGAAATTGAAGATATCGCTCAGAAAAAACGGTATACAATTTCCATTTTTATAATTAACACATTTGCTGTGTCTGTTATTTGTAACATTGGTCAAATATTTTATAAATTAATTATATTTAATAAATAGCTTAAATGGCTGTATCTTGTACAAATAATATTTTAGTAATTAATATGGCAGGTTTAACTGGCATAAGGTTTATTAAAACAAATGTGCTATAAATATTTTTTTCACATGATAGAAAAAATGTTATTTTTTCATAGTAAAAATAATGAATTGTTTATCTATAAATTATCAATTTTTAAACTTTATTTGAGATATTATCATTTTTTTTGCTATAGCAAAAGTGTTAAAGAATTTTAATATAAATTGAAAGAAATATTCATACTAAGCTATAGTTATATCTGAGTCTTATTTATTTAAGAAATAAAAATAGTTATATTTATTTTATTATAAATTATAAGTTATAAGTTTTAAACATTTATTGTGATATTCCTTAATTACTAATTGTGTTTTAAGTTTAAAAATTTTTGAAGTCTAAATAACCTTTCTCTTTTAAAATTGAATAAAAACAAAAATATAAAATTACATTTTTAGTGAAGCAGCTGAAGCACGTCTTCGTAATGTTCAAGAATCTTGTATTAATGATACTCAAACAAGTCGATCAGATTTCAAACAGCATAATAAATATAAAAATGTAATATAAACTGATTAATTTTCTTTTCTTTATAGTCTTCAAAATTAATTATTTTGTACTTTATAAACTGTTTGATGCACAAATAGGAAGTGAAATTGAAACTCGAGGATGGTTGGAGTCCTGTTACAAATGCAAATGTTAATTCTGACAATCCAATGGTGGAACAGATGAACATCATTAGGAACTATATCAAACAAGCCAAAGAAGCTTACCGATTTGATGAAGTTGCAAGTCTTGAAAAGAATTTACAAGAGTTGAACGAAGAATATTTCAAAATGCAAAATAATATTGGAAACATACCAGAAAATTGATCAAATATTTTTATGTATTTTTAGACCAATAAAATTGATAAATATAATAATTATCATAAAAATTTACATAAAAAATATGATAACCGCTAGGTGATTATTATACTTATATATGTATCGCAAAAAACTATTGTCATTATTTTTTTTTTCTGTGTTTCTCTTAAGTATTAAAGTTAAGTTTATAATAGTGAATACAACAACAAATTAAATTAATAAAATTAACAGACCAAAAAAATAATCAGTTAGACAATCATTTACGTTAAATATTAAATAAATATATTAATAATTTAAAATTGTAAGCGCAACTAAATTTAAGGAATGGTAAATTTATTTTTTCAGAATCTGGAACTGTATCATGTCAGTAAATTAACTGGTGATGATCTAACTTTTACATTGGTAACACAGGGAACATTTCATCCACAGTTGTACTCATTTATGTACTTGTACATCTGAAAAATATACATAAAAAAACACATTAAAATATTTATTAGATTACAACATAAGTTGATATTATGTTTTTAGTTTTTTTAATAATATTTCTTTAACTTTAAAAAATTGAATTTAAAATTAAATTTTTAAATTATTTTACATAAATAAAATGATAAATATACAAAGTGATTCATTAAATATTTATGCAATTTTAAAAAATTTAAATTAAATAAAATAATACATTTTAGGTAATGCTAATTTAAATGTTTTTAGTTTAACTATTATTATCAAATAATTTGAATCAATAATATAAATTATAAAATAAGTACACTTTGCTCTTCAATTATTATTTGTAATGTAAATAAGAGAAGAATGAGATTATAAATTGAATAACAGAATTTGATACCCAAAAATATGATTAATATACTTATTAATATTAATAAATACATTTAATTAGTAAAATAATTTATTGTATACCATTTTTCTGTTAATATGCTAAAATTATTGACAAATAAGCACTAATATTTTAGAACCTAAACATAATAAATCACTTGGTATAGTATAATATCCTACAAACTAATAATATAAAATATTTTTTCAATATTTTTATTACAATTTTTCATAAATATTAATACCTAATCTTCATAGTAAAAATTACATAAGAACAGATCATTGACTTATGCATATAATGCAATTCCTTTATTTATTACCATAGCCATCTTAAGAGCCCATTTGGTATTAGGTTACTTCATCATTTGAATTCCAAATTACAATTACCAAATCCAATTACAGCCATATCACTTCCTTTGGTTACATATTTATATATGTACCTACTTGATCGATTTTACTGAATGGCAAGATTCAACATTGATGTGTGCTCAGGCCCGTCGCTAGAGCATAAGCAGGTTAGGCCATTGCCTAAGGGCGGAAACATTTTCAATGAAACTGGGGCGGCATTTTTTTATGATGGAAAATTCGTTGTATTAAATTGTTTTAGTTGTTGGCAATCAATAATAAATCCGAAAGATGGATATCACATTTCAAAACAATACTATAGTGACATATAAAAGCAATTTGAGTAGTGAGTATCTATAATCCTATCTAATGTTGTACACAATATATTATTATTCTATATTTATCTATATATAATACACGGGTTTCAATGATGACCGGCCGGCGGCGGCTGCACGCTAGTCTGGAATTGCCATGATATTATCTTATCGTAGTGTCGGTGCAATCGACAGATAAAATAGAAAATCTTAATAATTACGGCAAAGTTTGTTGATTTACTATCATTCTTAGTTTGTTTTTTGGTTTTTGACTGTCGGTCGTCAGTCGTCACTCTTCAATAATCAATATAATACCAAATATTAGTTATTTTTTACGAATAGTACCTATCAAACATTCAAACGGGCAACGACAAAGAAATACAAGTAAGTACAGTCGTTGCCAGATAAATTGAGACAGCGGCGGCGGCGCTTTTCATTAAGTGTAGCCCAAACTAGTCGCTGATAATGTGATGCAAGTCTTACAGTTAGCTACGACGCGCGCAGTTACCAGTTCGAACCCGGCTTAGTGCAAAAAATTGTCTGCAGAATTTTCTGTTCTCTCTCCCGTTCTGGTTGCCCTACACTGCTAAAAACAACTAACCTAACCCGGTGTGTTTTGACCGCGCAAGCACTTCAGTCGTATCAACAATATTTGTTTATAATAATGCATATAGATGTTGTTATTATTTCATCATATTATTAATATTATGTGTTATTATTATATTAATTATATTATTTTACAATTTCTACTTTTTGTTCTTAAATAAAAAATTATTATCAGAATATATGATTTGAAATTAATATCGTAAAATATTTTTTGTAACAATAGTTGATTTATTGATATATTTTCAGTAATAATATTGAAATACGGAGGACCACTGGTTTTCCGTTATCGCGCCGCCGCCGCCGTCTCAATTTATCTGGCAACGACTGTACATATAATTATAATGATTTATATTATGATATTATTATAATACATATTTAATTCGCAATTTTTCTTATAAGCGCTTAACAGGTTAACTGCCACGTGTACCAGATATGGTACACTATAGTATTTCCAAGTAACGCATAACATTTGTTACAATGTTTGTCAATTTCGCTAAGCTAAAACAATAACAAAAGTAAGATTTTTAATTTATGCTTTAAGTATTTGAATAGCTTTAATGTAAGTTATTAACACCAAAAAATGATTTTTTTAACATGTCTCAAAAATGGTACACGCGGCCCTGCAGTATTACTTGCACTTAATTTTATACTGCAGAGCCATGTGTGCCATTAAATGTACACGATAAATCACCATGAAATATAATAAAACAGTTTAATAATAACCAGATAATGGGACATTTTTGTTATCGTTCATTCAAACATGTATTTATTTTAGTATTGGTTGGGGAATACCTGTTCGTAATAACTGATTATGTATAGAAATTCACTCGTAATTTCATTGCGCTGTGTAATTTTGTTCTGCTAATCAAATTTGTCTGTATTTTATTGTTAAAATATTAAAATTGGAAATGAATAGACGCGAAATAGAAACTATGCTGCAGGTATCAGATTCTGACTCAAGTTCGGATTACGATGGCACTAACGATGATCCAAACTGGACCTCTGAAAGTGAACTTGAAGAAAGTATTCAGGAATGTGATTCATTGGCTAATGGTAACTCCATTGGTAATAATTGGGATGATAATTTTTCTGATTCACGGCTTAATAGTCACATTATTTATAATCCTGATATAAATACTACTGGGATAAATCCTGATATAGTAGAAACTATGTCCGACGTAAGTCCTATTGACTTTTTTTTATCTTTTTTCGACAAAGAAATTATCGACTTGTTAGTAGTTTATGAAAACTTTTATTATGAAAAAAATGACAAAACTTAAAATGTATGAAAAGTTGAAAA